CGATTGTTCGCCGGCCAGAACCGCGATCTGGCTGAGCGCGCCGGCGTCCAGACGCTGGGTCGGACCGCTGCGCTTATGCCCATTGGCGGAGCGTTGAGCCGTTTGCGGGGTTTGGCGCAATTCAAGCGCGCGATCGACGGCCGGATCGTCAAGCCCGCGCAGCGCGGCGCGCACGGGACCCGACAGGTCTGGCCGGCGCGCGATGGCGCGTACGCGCGGACCGGCACGGTAGCTGCCGATCATCGTCAACAACATGCGATCGTCGACCGCCGGCGTCCTGGCAACGAAAGGTGCCGCGATCGCTTCGTCGCTGTCGCAGAAGAAATGCACGATCTCCAGCGGAGTTGTGGCCAACGGTGCGAAAATCGCGGCGATCGCGCGCCGGTCGTCCGCGGAGACCAGATCGATGTTCTCCAGAATGTGCTTCTGGATGCGCATGCAATCTTCGGTGGAAGGATTGCTCAGCCGCGCGAACTGATCGGCGTTCTCGATGAGCATCCTGGCTAGGCGTTGGTTCTGCATGCAAGCAAAGCTAGCGCGCAAGCGTTAGCAATGCGTTAACCATAAGCACGCAACCTTGGGTTACTCGCCATCGGACACGAAAAGGGGTTCCCATGGCCGACATCGTTGCAATGGCCTCCTACCGGGCGGCGTATGAACGGCTGCAATCGAAGCGCCGGTCCGATCTTCTGGCGAAAACCGGCCCGGCAACACTGCTGCTGTTCACGGGCGTTCGTCGCGAGCCGATCGGCGGCAAGGCCTCGTCCGGCGCCAAAGGCAAAGACCGATCTGCCCGCCGTCGCGCAAAGGCGCCCGCAACCGATCACTGAGATTGCCGGGCCAGCGGCGTCAGAACTCCAGCGATCGGCATTCCAACGCATCGGCAAAGCGCGCGCTGATGCCGGTCCACGTCTCGTCCGGCACAAACACCCGCACCACCGCAAATCCGCGCGGATCGTCTGCGGGCGCTATGATCGCGCCGGCCAGTTCGGTGGGCGTGCTCTGTCGGACAAAGCGCAACTGCGAGGCGTTCAGAACCGCCAGATCCAGGCGCTGACCGGCCGCCAGCCGGTCGTTGGCGGAAAAAAAGCCGGTCCCCAAACTGTCGTAGAGATTGACCGTCCAAAGCGGAACACGCCCGGTTGACCGCAGGTGCGCGGCGCCATCGGCCAGATCGTACCGGCAAACGATCGTTTCAAAAAAGGGGTCGGTTCCGTGCACCCCGCTTCCGAACGCGGCATCGGCCGTTCTGGTCGGCAACCGATATGGACGGTTTTCCTCGGTTTGTCCGGCAATCTGGTTCCAGGGCGTGTTTGCGGACACAAGCGGCAGCAGGAAAACGATGACCAGGTGCACAACGGCCGCCCCGACCAGACCGACCAGGGTTGCATAAAGGAACCGCGTCAAGACTGGCACCTCACACGCCGCACGTCCGGCATCGAGAAATCGATCAGGCCCGTGCTTGTCGCGATGGCCGTATCGTAGAGCGCCAGGACGAACCGAACCGGTCCTTCGTGATCCAGATGTAACCAGTTGCCGGGTTCCGCCTCGTCGGACACCAAAATGCGGATGCTGCCATCGGGATCGTGCAGGATTGCCCGGTTGTGGGTTCGGGCCGACAATCCTTCGGGGGCCTCCAGTGTCCGGCCGTTCTGGTCGACGGTCCGAAGCGTCCAAAGCCGGCTGGCGGGCAGACGGCCTTCTATGACATAGCTGCAGGTACCCACGATCATTGCACCTTCTGAATCGCGGGCTGCGCTGAACACCAGACCTTCGGCCGCACCGAGCGCAATTCCCCCATTGCGGGCGGCATGAGCGCGCGCGTAGGGATCGGCGTCTTGCGAGCCGGCGCGCGGATAGCCCGTCCACTGGCCTATGGACAGGGCGGAAAAACCGGCGAACCGATCGGTGATCGCCCACGCGCTGTAGCTGCCCAAGGCGAATGCAAGGCCCAGCACATAGGCGACGGTCAGGATTGTGCGCATCATTGGACGGACGTCGGGAGTCTGGCGGGAGCTGCGGGCTGTGTCGGAACGAAAAAGCCCATCCTGGCGAGCGTTGTTGCGCCGCGCCCGCGCTGTGCATCGGCCCGTCGCTGCATGTCAACGCGACCGCGCGGCAAGCTGCTGCGGATCAGAGGACAGCGGTGCCACGCTGCCCAGCCTGTCCTCCAGCGCGATCAGGAACCGGACGGCTTCTTCGGACAAGGCCAGCCGTCGCAATGGCAGAGACTCAACACCCTCTTCGGTTGCGATTGCCGGCTCTTCCTCGGCCACCGGACGGATCGAGTCCTCGACGCCAAGAAGCGGCACAAGGTCCGCATCGCGGTGTGCATAGGACATGATGCGCTGCCATGTCATGGCGGGAAGACGGCCGCCGGTCAGCCGGTTGGTCGGCGTATAATCGTCATTGCCGTACCATACCGCCGCGGTGAAATTGCCGGTGTAGCCGACAAACCAGGCGTCGCGGTAGGCTTGCGTCGTTCCCGTTTTGCCGGCGACCTTGATCCCGTCGAGCGCCGCACGTCGTCCGGTGCCCCACTCGGTCACATTGACCAGCATCCGGTTCAGCATCTCGGCTTTGTCGGCGTCGAGGACGCGCGTTCCCTCGATGGTTGTGCGCCGGCGGTCATAGATGATTTCGCCCGACACGCTCTTGATTTGGGTGAAGGCGTGGCGGGTACCGGCAATGCCGCCGCTGGCCAGCGTCAGATAACCCGTCGCCTGGTCCATGACCGTCATCCCCGCCGTGCCCAGCACCATTGTGTGATGGCTGATGATGTTCGATTCGACGCCCATCTTCGCCGCCATGTCCACGATCGGTTTGGTTCCGCCCAGATGGTCGCGCGCGATACGGACCGGAACCGTGTTGATCGAGCGGGCCAGGGCGGTCGCCAGTGTGACCCGTCCGGCAAAGGAGCGGTTGTAGTTCTGCGGCGACCATCCGCGCCAGGTTATCGGCTGGTCGGCGATGACGGTGGCGTCGGTCAGTCCCGCGTCGATGGCCGCCGCGTAGACATAGGTCTTGAACGACGAGCCGGCTTGACGCTCCGCCGCAGTCGCCCGGTTGAACTGGCTCACCCCGTAGTCGCGTCCGCCGACAAGGGCGCGGACCGCGCCATTGGCCTCGATCAGCACCACCGCGGCTTCGCCGACATTGTAATCCTGCCCATGCTTGCGCAGAAAGAATTGCACGGACTCTTCCGAAGCTCGCTGCAACTCCGAATCGATCGTCGTCCGCACCACCACGGACCGGGACGGCAGGTTTTCGGCGATGATGAAGTTCTTGACCTCCTCGAATGCCCAATCGAGGAAGTAATCCGGGCTTTCGGCATTGTTGCGCAGCACGACGTCGGCCGGCTCGCGCCGTGCGCCGGTGACCTGGCCTTCGGTCATGAAATCGGCCTGGACGATGTTGGTCAGCACCTCGTTCGCCCGGCCGCGTGCAGCCGGCAGGTTGATGTGCGGTGCAAAGCGCGCCGGCGCCTTGAACAGGCCCGCGAGCATCGCCGCCTCGGCCAGATTGACGTCACGCACATCCTTGTCGAAGTAGAACTTCGCCGCAGCGCCCACGCCAAACGTGCCGCCGCCCATATAGGCGCGGTCGAGATAGAGCTTGAGGATCTCCTCCTTGCTCAGATTGGCCTCCAGCCACAGCGCAAGGAATGCCTCCTTTATCTTGCGTTCCAGCGTCCGCTCATTGCTCAGGAACAGGTTTTTGGCGAGCTGCTGGGTGATCGTCGAACCGCCCTGCACGACAGAGTTGGCGCGTACGTTTTCCGTCATCGCGCGCACAAGCCCCATCGCATCGATGCCGAAATGATCGAAGAAGCGCCGGTCCTCCGTGGCCAGAACCGCCTTCACCAGATGATCGGGCAGATCCTCCACCGGCACCGCATCGGTGTGCAGAATACCGCGCTGGCCGATCTCGCGGCCGTACCGGTCAAGGAAGGTGACGGCGAACTGGTCCTGGTTGCGCCAGTCCTGCGCCACTTCGCGCGAGGACGGGATGGCCAAAGCCAGAAGCGCGATCAGGCCGAGCATGCCCAGCGTCATCGCATCTCCGGCCGCCTCGAAGAACACACGGCGAAACCCGCGCGGGCGGAACCTGCGGAAGAAGATCGTGATGTCTTCCCAGGTCTGGGCCGCCCTGAAACCGGAATTGTAGATGGCCGAATCGATCCACGCGTCAATTTCCAGAAGGAATGACGACTTCTTGTGCGGCCTCTTGTTTCGGCCGTCGTCTGGCAGGTTCAGATCATCCATGTCGCAAAATGCGCGCTGCGCTGCCGGCCTTGCCGGCGCCCGGCCCCATTCATGCCAACTCGCAGAGCCCGCACCCCACAGGCTCCTGATCCTGTCTTGCCGCATTTCGCCATGTCCGGCAATGGCCCGCCCGTGTTTGGCGTTAACGACCGGCGCCGGTTCCGGCGTTCCCGGCCGGGTCCAGCGCGCCTTCGCGGGCACCGTGATAGTATTGCGTTGCAACCATCAGGCCTTTGAGCGGGCGCAGCGGTAGAACGCAGAACGCCAGCAGCAGGGGAAACGTCAAAAGCGCGTTGAGCCAATAGGGCGCGCCGACGGCGACCTCCATCCAGATCGCGAACGCGACCACCGGGATGCAGGCGAACGTGATGACGAAGAAGGCGGGCCCGTCCGCCGGATCGGCGAAGTCGTAGTCGAGACCGCACACCTCACAATGATCGGCCAACGCGAGGAAGCCCGAAAACAATCGGCCCCGGCCGCAGCGCGGGCATTTGCCCACGAGCCCGGTGTGCTGCGGTTTGATCGGCGGGTAATCGGTGGCAGTGCGCGCGTCGGAAGAGGTCGACATGGAAGGTCCGTTCAAAAAAATGCTCGATGATAGGAATATTTTCTTGACACCGTGACGGTGCCGGCGTAGGGTAGTGGCATAATCACAAAATTGGGTCGACACGGCGCTTCGTCGCATGACGAGGGCTGGATCGTTGGCCCATTGTGGGTTTTCAAGAGAGGTTTGCGATGGTTTCCGGATCGGGCCGCCAAGGCGCGGCGCCGTACATCGCCCTGCCGTCCCGTGTGTTTGAGGCGCTGGAGGCGCAGCTTGAGGTGCAGGCCGAGCGCGTGATCGCGCTGGGTGAGCAGAGCGTGGGCGTCGACAGGCCGTTTCTGGATGCCGTTCCGGCTTTGACCAAGGCGGCCGAGAGGTTTGGCGACCTCAAGGCTTTATGCGGTGACGCGGATGGCGAGACGCCTGAAGACGAACTGGCGGAACTGCGCGCCTTTTTTGAGGCGATCGACAAACGGATCGACGAGCTTGCCCATGAACGTGCCGCCGCGATGGTGGCTGACGACACCGTCGCGACATGTCCGGCGTGTGGCGCTCAGATGCGGACTTCTGGCCCTGCGGGAGGCGCAGACCCCGCCCCGTGACCGCAACTGGTCGACATGGCTTTTGCTGGGCGGGCGCGGATCGGGCAAGACGCGCGCCGGCGCCGAATGGGTGCATGGTCTTGCCAGCGCAGCCCGTCCGTTCGGCGACGGCATATCGGCGCCGATCGCCTTGATAGGCGAAACGATCGCCGATGTGCGCGATGTGATGATCGAGGGGCCGGCCGGCATTTTGCGTTCGGCGCTCTATAACCGGCCGGTCTACGAGGCAACGCGGCGCCGGCTGGTCTGGCCCACGGGCGCGGTGGCGCAGGTTTTTTCTGCGCATGATCCGGGCAGTTTGCGCGGGCCGCAATTCGCGGCCGCCTGGTGCGATGAGCTGGTCAAATGGCCCTATCCCGGCGAGTGCTGGGACATGCTGCAATTCGGCCTGCGCCTGGGCGACTGGCCGCGCCTGGCGGTGACGACAACGCCGAGGCCGCTCAAGCTTCTGGCGCGCATCATGGACGATGCCGCAACCGTCACCGTCCGGATGAGAACCGCAGACAATGCCGCCAATCTGGCGCGTGGCTTCCTGAACACGATGCAGGCGCGCTATGGCGGCACGCGGCTTGGACGGCAGGAACTCGATGCCGAAATCCTCGGCGAACGCGATGGTGCGCTCTGGACACGCGACCTGCTCGAGCGGAGCAGGTCAGCCGGCCGCGACGACCATCGGCGGATCGTCGTTGCCGTCGATCCTCCGGCCAGTGCGAAAGCGACTTCGGATGCGTGCGGCATCGTCATTGCCGGCCTCACCGATGAGGGCGTGGTCGACGTCATCGCCGATCACAGCATTGGCGCGGCGACGCCGCGCCAATGGGCTGGCCGGGCGGTTGCGGCCTACCACGCCGCAGGCGCCGACATCATGGTCGCCGAAGTCAACCAGGGCGGCGACATGGTCAAGAGCGTGATCGGCATGGTCGATCCGACCGTCAATGTCAGTCCGGTGCGGGCGACGCGCGCCAAATGGCTGCGCGCCGAACCGGTGGCCGCGCTCTATGAACAGGGCCGTGTGCGCCATGTGGGCGTGTTGGCAGAACTGGAAGACGAGATGTGCGATTTCGGGCTGGACGGGCTTTCTTCGGGCCGCTCTCCCGACCGGCTCGACGCGCTGGTCTGGGCGATCGGCGAACTGGTTTCCGGTGCGCGCGGCCGTCCGCGCGTCCGCGCGATCGTGTGAACAACGGAAGAACCGATGAACAGGGTCAAGACCATGCTCGGTCGATGGCGGGCACGCGCAAACGCCGCCGACACGCATCCGGCGGGCAACACTGTGCCTGAACACAAGTCGGCCATCGTGCAGGGCTTTGTCGCCATGCACACCATGCTCGATGCCGGCTGGACGCATGCCTCCTTCTCCGCCCTGGCACGCGAAGGGTTCATGCGCAATCCGATCGTGCACCGGTGTGTGCGGATGGTGTCGGAGGCCGCTGCCGCCGTCCCCTGGAGCGTGCAGGAAGGCGACCGCGACCTTGCCGAACATCCGCTTGTGGACACGCTCGAACGCCCCAATCTCGGCCAGTCGCGAACCGCATTGGCCGAGACGCTGTTCGGCAACCTGCTTCTGTCAGGCAATGCCTATCTGGAACGCGTCGAGGCCGCCGACGGCCGGATGCGGCTGCATGCGATCCGGCCCGACCGCGTGCGGATCGAGCATGACGAGCGCGGATGGCCGGCCCGCTGCATCATCGAAGGTGCCGACGGAGCGCGCACGATCGGCATGGACGACGACGGCCGCGCGCCGGCTGTCGTGCATCTGTCGCTCTACAATCCGCTCAGCGAGACCGATGGATTCGCTCCGCTCGAGGCCGCGCTGATGGCGCTCGACGTCCACAATGCCGCCGCCCAATGGAACAAGGCGCTGCTCGACAATGCGGCGCGGCCATCGGGCGCTCTGATCTATGCGCCGGGCGACGGCTCGACATTGACGGCCGAGCAATATGACCAGCTCAAGCGCGAACTTGCCGACGGCTATTCGGGCGCGCTCAATGCGGGCCGCCCGCTGCTGCTCGAAGGCGGGCTTGACTGGAAGGCGATGGGCCTGACGCCGCGCGACATGGACTTCATCGAAGCCAAGAACTCGGCCAGCCGCGACATCGCGCTCGCCTTCGGCGTGCCGCCGATGCTCCTGGGCATTCCCGGCGACAACACCTATTCCAACTATCAGGAGGCACAGCGCGCCTTCTACCGCCTGACGGTTCTGCCGCTGGTCCGCCGGACGGTCGAAGCGCTCTCGGGCTGGCTGGCGCCTCTCTATCCGGGGCGCATGCGGATTGGCATTGATCTCGACCGGGTCGAAGGGCTGGCGGCCGAGCGCGACGCGCTATGGGCGCGGCTCGAAGCGGCCTCCTTCCTGACGGACACCGAAAAACGTGAAGCGGTCGGCTATGCGCCGACGCCGACACGGAACGGCTGACCATCATGACCGACATCAACCCGGCGGGCACGGTGTGGCTCGCCAAGCTGGCCGGCGCGATCGCCGGCTCGGCGATCTCGCTCGCCTATCTGTTTCCGCGCTCGCGCCGCGAGGCCGCGTTGCGGTTTATGACCGGCGTGACCGGCGGTGTCGTCTTCGGCACCACGGCCGGCGTCGCGGTCGCCGAACGCCTGGCGATCGCGGACGTGCTCAGCGAGTTCGAAACCGTACTGATGGGCGCCGCGCTTGCCTCGGTCAGTATCTGGTGGGCGATGGGTCTGGCGATCCGCTTTGCCGACCGCGGCGGCAGCCCGAAAGGAAAAAACGGCACAAGGAAGCCCGATGATCCCTCTTGATCGCAAATTCGCCGCGACCGAACTGGGCGATGTCGATGAGACAGGCACGTTCACCGGCTATGCGTCCGTGTTCGGCGCGGTCGATCTGGGTCAGGAAGTGGTCGCCGCCGGCGCGTTCACGAAATCGCTGGCCGAAAGGGGCGCCGGCGGCATCCGCATGCTGTTCCAGCACAATCCCGACGAGCCGATCGGCCACTGGCTGTCGGTCGAGGAGGATGCGCACGGCCTGAAGGTTTGTGGCCGGATCAGCACCGAAGTCGCGCGGGGCCGCGAGGTGCTGGCGCTGATGCAGGCGGGCGGTCTCGACGGCCTGTCGATCGGCTTCAAGACGGTGCGTGCCAAGACCGATGCAGCCACCGGCGCACGCCACATTCTCGAAGCCGATCTCTGGGAGATTTCCGTCGTCACCTTCCCGATGTTGCCCGAGGCACGGGTGGCGGCCGTCAAGGCCGCGCCGACCCTGCCGACGGTTCGGGACTTCGAACGTTGGCTCGTGCGCGATGCCGGGCTGACCAGACGGCAGGCCCGCACGGTCATCACCAAGGGGTTTGCCGCATTGGATCGCGGGCGGGAAGCCGCGTCCGGAACCGGTGCGCAGGACGGCCTTGTGCTTGCGAGCACCATCCGCCGTGCCGCCGATCATCTCACACTCAAGACCAAGGAACTGCGATCATGAGCACCCTCCAAACGTGCCGCATGGCTCCGGCGCGAAAGGCCGCCTCGGCCGCGCCGGCCATGCCCGCGGCCAAACCCATGCCCGTCTCCCATGCACAGGATGTCGCCGAGGCGTTCGACGATTTCATGCGGGCCTTCGACGCGTTCAAGCAGGCCAATGACGAACGTCTGCGCGAGTTGGAGAGCCAGCTCGGCGAGGATCCGGTCTCCGCCGACAAGGTGGACCGCATCAACCAGGCGGTTGACGAGCAAAAGCGAGTGCTTGAACGGCTGGTCGCCAATGCCGCGCGGCCGGCAGCCGGCGGCGGCTTCGCCTTTGCTGGCGCGAGCGAACACAAGGCCGCTTTCGAGCGCTATGTGCGCGGCGGCGACGAAACCGGCCTGCGGCGTCTCGAAGCCAAGGCCATGTCCTATGGTTCGGGTCCCGACGGCGGTTTTCTCGTGCCGCCCGAGACCGAGACGGCCATCGCAGCCCGCTTGCGCGATTTGTCGCCTGTTCGCGCGCTGGCGACCGTGCGCCAGGTCACCGGCGCGGTGCTGAAAAAGCCGTTCGCCGTCAGCGGCCCTGCGGTCGGCTGGGTCGGCGAAACCGATGCGCGTCCCGAGACGGCGGCGGGAACGCTGGCCGAACTGCAGTTTCCAACGATGGAACTCTACGCCATGCCGGCGGCGACCGCGACCCTGCTCGAGGACAGCGCCGTCGATATCGACCAGTGGATTTCCGCCGAGGTCGAGGCGGCATTCGCAGAGCAGGAAGGAACGGCCTTCGTCAATGGCGACGGCGTCAACAAGCCGCGCGGCCTTCTCGACTATACCATGGTCGACGAGAGTGCGTGGAGCTGGGGCAATCTCGGCTATGTTCCAACCGGCACGGCCGGCGATCTGCCTGCCGACGACGCGACCGGCGTGCTGCTCGACACGGTGTTCACGCTCAAGGCCGGCTATCGGCAGAACGCATCCTGGCTGATGAGCCGCAAGACCCAGGCCGCCATCCGCAAGCTCAAGGATGCGGACGGAAACTATGTCTGGCAGCCTCCGGCAACGGCGGAGCAGAAGCCTTCCCTGATGGGCTTTTCGGTGCACGAATCCGAAGACATGCCGGCCATCGCCACAGACGCGCCTGCCATCGCCTTTGGCGATTTCGCGCGCGGCTATCTGGTGGTCGACCGGCGCGGCGTCTCGGTTCTGCGCGATCCCTATTCGGCCAAACCCTACGTGCTCTTCTACACCACCAAGCGCGTCGGAGGCGGCATCCAGGACTTCGATGCCATCAAGCTGATCCGGTTCGGCGTGAGCTGATAGGCGCGGCCTCGTCCCCCGCGCTTCACGCCGCAGCGGACGGCCCGGTCCGCCTCCCTGCCGGGCCGTCCGCATCCATTTCGCAAAGGACAAACAATGGTTCTGATGCCCATCGGCACGCCGGCCGTTCCGCCGGTGACGCTTGCGGACGCCAAGGCGCATCTGCGCGTCACCCATGAAGGAGAAGACACGCTGATCGCCGAACTGGTCGATGCCGCCGCGCGTTTTATAGCCGACGATACGGGCCTCGCCCTGATCGACCAGACTTGGCGTCTTTCGCTGTCCGAGGCGCCGGCGGCGCCCGTTTCGCTGCCGCGCCATCCCGTTGCCGCGATCGTTGCGGTCACAGTCTACGACCCGGACGGCGATCCGAACGTTCTGGAGGGCAGCGCCTACCGGCTCGACACGATGCGGCGGCCGGCCACCTTGACCTTCGAGCCGGGATCCCTGTCGGCCTCCATAACCGGCGTCGAGATCGACTTCCGCGCCGGCTTCGGACCCGCGGGACCCGATGTGCCCGACACGCTGCGCCGCGCGATCCTGACCCTCGTCGCCCATTGGTACGAATTCCGGGGCAGCTACGGACCGAGCGAGCAGCCCGTTTCGGTTCCGATGGCCTATTCGCGCCTGGTGCGCGCCTGGCGCCGGATCGGCATCTGACCATGGCGCCGCAATCAATCGATCCTGGCCGGCTGCGCGTCCGTTTTGCGCTCGAAGAATGGGCGTCGGCGCCCGACGGGCGGGGCGGCTTCACCGACATGTGGACCCATGTCGCCCACGTCTGGGGCATGGTCGCCTCGTCACGCGCCACCGATCCGCTGCGCGCCGGCGCCGGAGAGCAGGTGACCGAGCGCACCATCGTGCTGCGCGCCGATCCCCGCGTCCGGCCTGCCATGGGTCTTGTGGCGGGCAGCGACCGTTTCGTCATCCAGACGGTGCACGACGAAGACATGGGCGGGCGCCATCTGCGCTGCATCGCGACCAGCGAGGTGCCGCAGTGAAGACCGCCATCAGGACCACGGTCGACGATCTGGTCGGCGCTCTGCGCAAGGCGGTTCTGGCGCGCGCCGACGAACGCGCCACGCGGCTTGCCGACGAGGCGTCAACCAATGGCCGCGCTCCAGCCAAGAATGAGGACAAGCGGTCATGACCGGCGATCTTCACGCCTGGCTCCTCGACCGGCTGTCGAACGATGCCGCGCTCGTGGCCGATCTCGGCGATCCGCCGCGCGTCTTCGACAGGCCGCCGCCGCGCCGCGCCTTGCCCAGCGTCTATGTCGGCCGGATCGAGGTGGCGGACTGGAGCACCGACGATGCGCGCGGGCAGGCGGTGTCCGTCGTCATTCACGCCTATGCGCGCGGTCCCGGCCGAACCGATATCGACCGGATCGTTGCCGGCATCGAGAGCACGCTGACCGATGCGGTCCCGGCGACAGCCCAGTCCACACGGATCGTGCTGGCAACGCCGGTCGCCATATCGACAGCCTATGAGCGCGGACAGGCCGCCTTCCACGCAACGCTGCGGTTGCGTTTCCTGTGCGCGGCGGCCGGTGCGTGATCCGGAACAACCCGACATCCGAAACGGAGACCTCCCATGACCGCCCAGCGTGGCAAGGACATCCTTTTGAAATTCTTCGACGACGGTCAGCAGGCGTTCGTCTCCGTGGCGGGACTGCGCACCAAGCGGATCGCCTTCAATGCGCAGACCGTCGACATCACCGACACGGAGTCGGCCGGCCGGTGGCGCGAGCTTCTGGGCGGTGCGGGCGTGCGGCGCGCCTCCATTTCCGGATCAGGCATCTTCAAGGATGCGGCGTCCGATGCGCTTGTCCGGCAAGCCTTCTTCGATGGCACGATCGATCAGTGGGAGATCGTGATCCCCGATTTCGGAGCGATCTCGGGCGCGTTCGCGATCACCGCGCTCGACTATGCCGGAAACCATGATGGTGAGGTGACGTTCGAGACGGCTCTTGAATCCGCCGGCGAACTGACCTTCGGAGCATTGTGATGCTGGTCAATCGCAGACGCGGCGAGATTGTCGCCAATCTGGGCGGCAAGGACCGTTGCCTGTGCCTGACGCTCGGAGCGTTGGCAAAACTCGAAAGCGCCTTTGCCGTCGGAGATCTGGGCGCTCTTGGCGAGCGTTTTTCGTCCGGCCGGCTGTCGGCGCGCGACCTGTTGACCATCATCCATGCGGGCCTTGAAGGCGGTGGCCACACATTCACGCTCGACGATGTGGCCGAGATGCAGGCCGAAGGCGGGCTGGCCGGATATGCGGCGATCGTCAGCGAATTGCTGGCTGCGACCTTTGGCCCGGCCGAGGAAAACTGATCGATGCGGCGCGCCTTTCCCTGGAACGACGCCATCGTGTTCGGGCTTGGCATCATGCGGCTTGCGCCGCAGGCGTTCTGGGCGATGACACCACGCGAACTCGCGGCGGCCATGTCGGTTGCGCACGGCGCCGGGACCTTGGCGCCATCGCGCCGCACACTTAAGGATTTGCTGTCGGCATTTCCCGATAGCGGCACCTCCGAGCTGGGACCGAACCACCATGGATGAAGAACTGATCGTCACTGTCGATGCCGACACGACAGGGCTCGAAACCGCGCTCGCGACGCTCAAGAACGAAGCCGAGAGCTTCGGCCGGACGATGACCGGCGCATTGAGCGACATCGTCATCAAGGGCAAGTCGGTGGAGGACGTTCTGCGCGGCATCGCCATGAGCATGTCGCGCAACGCACTCAACCGGGGCCTGGCGCCGCTGCAGTCCATGTTCGACGGTTTCGGCCGATCGGTTCTCGGCGGGTTACTGGGCGCGGCAAAGCCGTTTGCCGCGGGCGGGGTCGCATCGACCGGTCTTTTTGCAGGCGGAGGCGGGGTTCTGGCTGCACCGGCCTATTTCCCGCACGGCAACGGATTTGGCGTTGCGGGAGAGGCCGGTGCCGAGGCCATCCTGCCGCTCAGACGCGGTGCGGACGGCCGTCTGGGTGTCGCCGCGGGCGGACCGAGCGAGGCCCCCGCGCAGGTCGTCGTCAACATTTCGACACCCGACGTAAGGGGCTTCGAGCGCTCCCGGTCCCAGGTCAGCGCGGCGCTCACCCGCGCCGTGATGCGCGGCCGGCGCAGCGTCTGAGGAGCGGGCCATGGCCGATTTTCACGATGTCGCATTCCTTCCGCGCCTGCCTTTCGGCATCAATGTCGCCAGCCGCCGGCACATCGATGTCGTCGCCCTGTCTTCGGGTCACGAGATCCGCAACAGCCGGACCGCCGAGACGATGCGGCAATATACGATCCCTGTCGGCACGCGTCCGATGGCCGAAATCCGCGCCATCCTGACCTTCTTCGAGGCGCGTGGCGGGCCGTTGCATGCCTTCCGGTTCCGCGATCCGGTCGAACCTTCGACCGGACCCGATGGCGGCGTTCCCGATGCATCGGACGTACATCTGGGCACGGGCGACGGCGCGCTAACGCAATTTCAGCTCACGACCGCGAGCGGCCGCGTCATCCGCAAGCCCGAGCCGTCAAGCGTGGTCATGGCCCTCGACGGATCGGTCATCGATCCCGGTTCGGTTTCGGTCGATGCGGCGACGGGCATCGTCACTCTTTCGGCCGCTCCGGCCCCCGGCGTCGCCCTCACCGGCGGCTGCCTGTTCGATGTACCGGTGCGTTTTGAGAACCAATCGCTGCAGATCACGCGCGCCGACCCCGACGCGGGCGCGCTCGACGACCTGGTCCTGACCGAGGTGATCGCGTGAGAACCCTGCATCCCGATCTTCAGACCCATCAGGAAAACGATGCCACCACGGTCTGTCTGGCGTGGATCGTCCGGCGAACCGACGGCGCCTCGCTCGGCTTCACCGACCATGACCGGCCGCTGATGATTGCCGGCACGCTGTGCGAGCCGCAGACGGGGTTCACCGCCGGCGCGGCCGAGGCGTCGATGGGTCTGGGTGGCGACATCTCGGATGTTTCGGGCGCCTTGTCATCATCGGCAGTCTCGGAAACCGACATCGAACGCGGCGCATATGACGGCGCCGATGTCGCGCTCTATCTGGTCAACTGGGAAGCGCCGGAAACGGCAAGCCTGCTGCGCCGTTTCCATGTCGGAGAGATCACGCGCGAGGGCCGGGCCTTTCGGGTCGAATTGCGCAGTCTGTCGGCGACGCTCGACCAGCCGCGCGGCCGCTTCTTCACCCGCCATTGCGATGCCGGGCTCGGCGATGCACGCTGCGGTTTTGCACTGTCAGCCACGCCGGGATACAGCGCCTCGGGCACCGTTTCGGGCGGCGACGGCGCCCGCTCGATCGACCTGGCCGGGATCGGCGTTCACCCGGACCGCTGGTTCGACCATGGCGTGTTGCGGTTCGATGGCGGCGTCCGCGCCGGCGACATGCTTTCCGTCTCAGCGGCCAGCCTGTCCGATGCATCGATCATGCGCATTCTGCTGCGCGAACCGGTCGGCGTGTCGCCCGCGACAGGCGACCCGGTGACGCTGTTCGCCGGCTGCGACAAGACGTTCGCGACGTGCAAGGCCAAGTTCTCCAACCAGCTCAATTTTCAGGGGTTCCCGCACATGCCCGGCGACGACCGGGCGCTCAGCTATGTTCATTCCGACGCCGTGTTCGATGGCGGGCCCCTTGTCCCCTGATCCGCTGCGCATGGCGATCGTTGCGGCCGCGCGCCGCTGGATCGGCACGCCTTATCGCCACCAGGCGGCCCGGCGCGGCGTCGGCTGCGATTGCCTTGGGCTCGTCGCCGGTGTCTGGGCCGATGTCTATGGTGCGATGCCTGACTACGACCGCTCCTATTCGGCCGATTGGGCTGAGAGCGCCGGTGCCGGAGAACCGCTGCTCGGCGCCTGCAAGGCCCGCTGCAGCGCTGTCTTTGTCGGGGACGAACAAGCTGGCGATCTTCTCGTCTTCCGATGGTCGCCCCACGTCGCCGCCAAGCACCTGGCGATTATGGCGGCGCCGGCGATGATGATCCATGCGCGCGAGCGCCACGCGGTTTGCGAGACCGCGCTTACGCACTGGTGGAAACGGCGTTTGGCGGCGGTGTTCGCATTTCCCTTTCACGGCGATTTTTCGGCAGCGCGCTGATGGCGACGCTTCTGCTTCAGGCCGCCGGCGGGTTGCTGGGCGGCGCATTCGGCACGTTCGGCGCCACAGTGGGCACCGCTGCAGGTGCCCTCGCTGGCTACTGGATCGACCAGCGTCTGTTCGGCGCCAGCCAGCATGCCGAGGGACCGCGCCTGACCGAACAGCGGCCGATGACGGCCGAGGAGGGTGTCCCGGTAGCCCGCGCCTATGGCCATGTGCGGCTCGCCGGCACGGTCATCTGGGCAACGCGTTTCGAGGAGGAGACGACGACCGAACGCCAGGGCGGCAAGGGCGGTCCGAAGGTCACGACCACCACCTACAGCTATTTCGGCAATGTCGCGGTGGCCCTGTGCGAAGGGCCGGTTGCCATGGTCAAGCGCGTCTGGGCGGACGGCCGCGAAATCGACCTGACTGAAATCACCGTACGCGTCCACACCGGTGAAGCCGGACAGACGGCCGACCCATTGCTTGAGGTAAAGCAGGGCGCGGACAACACCCCCGCGTACAGGAATATCGCCTATCTGGTCTTTGAGCGCTTTCCGCTCGAGGATTTCGGCAATCGCATTCCGCAGATCGAAGCCGAAGTGATCCGGCCGGTCGGCGAACTCGAGAAGGGGCTGACCGCCGTCTCGGTCATTCCCGGCGCGACCGAGCACGGCCTTTCGCCAAGCTCCGCCATCAGCCAGCTTGGCCCGGGCGAAACGGTCGAACACAATCGCCACATCCTTTATGCGGGCAATGATTGGTCGGCCTCGATCGATGAATTGCAGGCGATCTGCCCGAACCTGAAGCATGTCTCGCTCATCGTCACATGGTTCGGTGACGATCTGCGCGCTGGCGACTGTTCGCTCAGGCCCGGCGTCACACAACGCCAGATGGGCGAGGAAAGTCCGCCCTGGAAGGTCAGCGGTCTGAGCCGCCAGAGCGCCGATTCTCGTCTGGTCAGCCGGGTCGAGGGCCGCCCCGCCTATGGCGGAACGCCGACTGACGCCTCCGTCATCGAAGCCATTCGCGATCTGAAGGCGCGCGGCCTTTCGGTCATGCTGCATCCCTTCATCATGATGGATGTTCCGCAGGACAACGCGCTGCCCGACCCTTATGACGGTGCGGTGCAGGCGCCCTATCCCTGGCGCGGCCGGATCACCTGTTTTCCCGGCCCCGCACAGGCGGGCAGCGCGGACGGGACGGCGACGGCGCAAAGCCAGGTTGCAGCATTCGTCGGCGCCACGCAGCCCGCCGATCTGGCGGTGAGCGGCGAGATGGTGGTTCCCGGCCCCGGCGCCGATTGGGGCTATCGGCGCCTCGTCCTGCACATGGCTCGCCTCGCACAGATCGCCGGCGGCGTCGATGCCATGCTGATCGGCAGCGAGTTGCGCGGCCTGACATGTCTGCGCAATGCGTCCAACCAGTTTCCGTTCGTCGATGCGCTGCGCCAACTGGCAAGTGACGTTCGTGCGATACTCGGGCCGGGCTGCAAGCTGAGCTATGGCGCCGACTGGTCGGAATATTTCGGCTATCATCCGGCCGACGGCTCGGGCGATGTCTTCTATCATCTCGATCCGCTCTGGGCGGCGCCCGAGATCGATGCGGTGGGCATTGACAATTACATGCCTCTGTCCGACTGGCGCGCGGCCGATGCGTTTTCCGACCAGGGCAACCCCGATGGCATGCGCGCCGACAATGACGCGGCTGCGATGCAGTCGGTGATCGCGGCGGGCGAGGGTTTCGACTGGTACTATGCGAGCGATGCCGGCCGCGCGGACCGCATGCGTTCGCCGATTACCGACGGAGCCCATGGCAAGCCATGGGTCTATCGCTACAAGGATCTGGTCTCCTGGTGGTCGAACGTTCACGTCGACCGGCGTGGCGGCGCCGAGACCGGGCCGCAATCGCCGTGGGTGCCCTATGGCAAGCCGATCTGGATGACCGAGACTGGATGCCCCGCCGTCGATGCGGGCGCCAATCAACCCAATGTCTTCCCCGATCCCAAGTCGAGCGAAAGTGCACGGCCGCACCATTCGGCCGGCACGCGCGGCGACGGGGTCCAGCGGGCCTTCCTGACGGCGCATCAAAGGCACTGGGTCCAGGTGGGCGCGCCAGCGAACCCCGTCGCCCCCGGCACATCGGTGCCGATGGTCGATCCCGAACGGCAGTACATCTGGGCCTGGGACGCCCGGCCCTATCCCGAGTTTCCGCGCAATGGCACCATCTGGGGCGACGGGCCGAACTGGCTGACCGGACACTGGATCAATGGGCGCCTCGGCTGCGCCCCGCTCGCGGGACTGATCGGCGCCATCTTCGCAGATCACGGCCTGCCGGCGCCCGATGTCGAGGCCGTCAGGGGCGTTGTGCAGGGCATGACGGTGCTGACGCCCGGCAGCATCCGCCAGACGCTCGAACCGCTTGTCGATGCGTTCGGGCTGGTTGTAACGGACACGGGCGACGCCCAGGCACCGCTGATCCGGATCGCCGACCCCGACTATCGACCGGTCGCGGTTCCTCGCGCGCAGCTTTGTCTGGGCAAGGAGCATGGCGACCGCACGCTGATATCGGGGCAAGCCGATGAATTGCCCTCCGAGGTGGTGCTCCGCTATCGCGACGCGCTGACCGACTACCGCACCCAATCGGCACGTTCGCGGCGGCGGGATGGGCCGTCCGCCATGCTGATTGACGCCAATCTGCCTTGTACGCTGCATCCCGAAGGCGCGCTCGCCGTCGCGAACGCGATGCTGGATCGTCTCTGGTTTGGCCGCGACACGCTGAAATTCCATCTGCCGCTGCGCTTTGCGGGCCTTGAACCGGGCGATGTCGTCGCCTTTGACGACAATCCGCGCGGCCATTGGCGCATCACTGCGATCGATCTGACGGACCGTCTTGAGATCACGGCACGCTCCATCGTCCGGTCGCTGTCACCGGCAATGCCGCCGGCGTTTTCCGTCCACTCCGCGTCACCTGAAGCATCGGGCAGGTTCGGCGGGCCGCCGGAAACGGTTCTGCTCGACTTACCCATGCTCGATCAAACGACCGTCGAGAACAATCACCGGATCGCTGTACACGCCGTGCCTGATCGTCCGCACGCGGTGCTGTCATCGCCGGGCGCCGACGGGTTCGAACTGCGCCAGTCGGTTGCCGGCAACGCGATCATGGGCACGCTGCTGACACCGTTGCCGCCCGGCCCGCCGGGCCGGTATGACCGTGCCAGCACGGTTCATGCCCGCCTGTTCGGTGGCGAGTTTTCGTCCGTAACCCGGGAACTTTTGCTGGCCGGGCGCAACGCACTGGCGGTCGAGATCACAGGCGGTCTGTTCGAGGTGCTCCAGTTCCGCTTCGCGGAAGAAGTGGCGCCCGGCGAGTGGCGTCTTTGGGAGCTTCTGCGCGGTCAGGCCGGAACCGACGATGCCGCGGCTGCCGGCGCGCCGGCGGGCGGCCGGATCGTCTTTCTGGACCGTCGCACCCCGCCTTCGGGGCTCACCGCCGCAGAGGCCGGCCGAACGCTCAACTGGCGGATCGGTCCCGCCGGCAGGACGTTTTCCTCGCGTTACTTCACAGTCTTGACGGCAATCGCCGGAACGCGGGCCTTGCTGCCGCTCTCGCCGGTTCATCCCCGCGCTCATCTTATGCCGGACGGCGCGGTCCAATTGTCGTGGATCCGCAGGAGCCGGATCGGCGGCGATGTGGCGATCGGCGGCTCAACTCCGCTCGGCGAGGAGCGCGAGCTTTATCGCGTCACGCTGTTCGATGGCAGCGGGGCGCCAATCCATACCGCTGAGCCCGACGCGTCTTCACTGACGCTTTCGCCAGCCGGCATCGTCTCGATCTTCGGTTCCGTACCGGATGCGATCGACGCCGAGATCAGGCAAGTCAGCGCCCGTGTCGGCGACGGTCTGGCGATGCGCACGATCCTGCATTTGACCCCCAATTGATCATCTGAACCGAAAGGAACCGACATGACCGGATCGAAGCCCTGGTATCTCTCTCGAACCATCTGGGCCGCCATCGTCTCGATTGCCGCCAGCGGCGGCGCCGCGCTCGGTCTGCCGCTTGAGGCGGCCGCGCGCGAAGGGCTGACAGATGCCGTGCTGCAGCTCGTTTCGGCCGCCGCCGGCGCGATCGCAATCCTTGGGCGATTGAGCGCGACCACCCAAATCCGTTGACGAAAATGGCCGTTTCCATTCAGTTTGCATTCATCTGGCGCCCCTTATAGAGGGGTCATGATGTTCAGGAATGCACTCACATTCGGCGCGCTGATGGTTGGACTGGCACTTGCCGGCCCGGCTCATGCCAGCGACACGGTCGAAGTGGCAAGCGAAAGCTGTTTTGCCCTCGGCCAGAATCTGGCGGCCCGGCAGGGCGCGACGCTGGTGGGCGCCGAGGCAGCGCAGCAGAACGGCCAGAACGGGTGTCGGGTGGTGCTGCTCTATCAGGGCCAAGGCGGAGAGCGCCCGCGCCGTGAGGAGATTTTTGTTGCGCAGTGAGTGTCGTGATAAAAGGCACAGCACCGCGCCGTGCCTGACTTAGAGTGGGCGGCAATCAACGGGAGCCGGTCCGATGCGCATCTTGGTTGTCGAGGACGACGCCGATCTCAATCGCCAGATCAAGGATTCGCTGGAAGACGCCGGCTATGTGGTCGATAGCGCGGCCGACGGCGAGGAAGGCCATTTCCTGGGCGACACCGAACCCTATGACTGCGTCGTTCTCGACATCGGGCTGCCGCTGATGGACGGCATTTCGGTGCTCCAGCGCTGGCGTGATGATGGTCGGGCGATGCCGGTCCTGATCCTGACGGCCCGCGATCGCTGGAACGACAAGGTTGCCGGCATCGATGCGGGCGCCGACGACTACGTCACCAAGCCGTTCCACATCGAGGAAGTGCTGGCCCGCGTTCGGGCGCTGATCCGCCGCGCGTCCGGACATGCGACGTCCGAACTGGTGTGCGGGCCGCTGGTCCTCGACACCAAGACATCCAAGGCGATGGTCGACGGCAAGATGCTCAAGCTCACCTCGCACGAGTTCCGGCTTTTGTCCTACCTTATCCACCACAAGTCTGCGGTCGTCTCCCGCACTGAACTCACCGAGCATCTCTACGATCAGGATTTCGATCGCGATTCCAACACGGTCGAGGTCTTTGTCGGCCGCCTGCGCCGCAAACTGGGATGCGACCTCATCGAGACCGTGCGCGGGCTCGGATACCGCTTGCGCGATCCTGACGACGAACAGGCCGGAACGCCTGCAGCCGGCTGAGCGCCGTGAAAGGATCGTTGCGCAACCGGGTGATCGCGCTGTCCACTGTATGGACGGTGCTCGCCGTCGCGTTGCTGGGCTGGCTGCTGGTCACGCAGTATCGGCTCAATGCCGAACGCGGCTTTGCCGACCTGCAACAGGCGCAGTTGTTCAGCCTGATCGCCGCGTTCCGCATCGCCGATGACGGTACGCTGACCGGCACGCCCAATCTGGGCGACCGGAGCTTTCGCGAAGCGGCGTCTGGGTGGTACTGGCAGGTGGCCGTCGTCGGCTCGGACGCGCCGGCACGGCAGTCGGTTTCGCTTGGAGGACAGTTCCTCACCGGCCCTTCGCTGGCCGAAGTTCCCTATGACGAACAATTCACCCGGACGTTCGAAACCGAAGGTCCGGCGGGCAATCGGCTGCGCGTGTTGGAGGCCGAAGTCCAGATCGGCCCCGCCGGAGAGATCGCCTTCTTCCAGCTTGCCGGCAACCAGAGCGAGTTCGATGCGGCCATCGCCGCACTGGGGCAGAACATTGCGCTCCTGCTGACGCTGTTCGGAGCCGGGCTCGTGGCGATCAATGGTGCGATCATCGTGTTTGGCATGCGGCCGCTCAACCGCGTGCGGGAGGCATTGCGCGCCATCCACGCGGGCGAGGAACACGCGCTGGCGGGTCGCTATCCCGACGAGATCCAGCCGATGGTGGATGAGATGAACATGCTCATCGACAACAATCGCAGGGTCGTCGAGCGCGCGCGGACGCAGGTCGGCAATCTGGCCCATTCGCTGAAGACGCCGGTTTCGGTTCTGAAAAACGAGGCGGATCGGGGCGAGCCCGTCGATCCGCGTCTGGTTGCCGACCAGGCCGACGCCATGAAGGCTCAGGTGGAGCACTATCTTCATCGCGCGCGCATTGCCGCCCAGACCGGAGGCACCGCCTTCCGGACCGATATCGCCGAGACGCTGGGGCGGTTGGTCAAGGTCATGCGCAAGCTCAATCCCGACAAGTCGATCGCCCTCGAGCTGCCGGCCGCCCCGCCAGCATTCGCCGGCGAGAAGGAGGACTTCGAGGAGATATGCGGGAACCTTCTCGAAAATGCCTGCAAATGGGCGGATGAACGCATTCGGGTCGGCCTCACCAATACGCCGGGAGATGACCGGTCGTTCACAATCTCCGTCGATGATGACGGGCCGGGCATTGCCGCCGGGCAGCGCACTCAGGCGCTCAGGCGCGGTCAACGTCTCGACGAAACCAAGCCGGGTACCGGTCTCGGTCTTTCCATCGTCGTCGAAACGGTGGAGGCCTACAAGGGCCATGTGAGCCTCGGTGAAAGCGAGATGGGCGGCCTGCGCGTCACGCTGATCCTGCCTCGGGCACGTACAGCGCCATGAATCTGCCTGTTGCCGCGGCGATCAATGCCCCGTAAATGCGGGCGACCGGAACCAACCGAAGGCGGACAGAACGATGGCCGGCGTGGCGCGCACCCTGACGAGACTTGTCCTTGTGGGCGGATTGTCGCTGGGCCTCGGCGGATGTGTCAGCCTGGGCGGAAGTCCGGCTCTTCCCTTGACGCCCGGCTCGGGCGGCGGCGGTGCGGCAGTTCCGGCTGCCAGCCTCCTCGAACCGCTGGCCGGTGGCCTTGTCGGTCGTATCGAGGCTCCGCGCCTGTCCCGCGCCGACCGCATCGCCGCGCTTCAAAGCGAATATCGCGCGCTTGAATACACCGCGCCCGGCGATCTGGTGACCTGGCAGGGGCGCTCCGGCGGCCTTGCGGGGCAGGTTGTCGCCTCCCAGCCCTACCGCGTCGGCTCGCAGGATTGCCGGCAATACACCCATACCGTCACGACCGGAGCGGTGACCCCCTCGGTCGTCCGCGGCACCGCCTGTCGCAACCCCGACGGCAGCTGGACCCTTCTTTCCTGACGCAACCGATGTGCCGGTGCACCTTTGTCGCAGCCGGTTTTGCTTGGAAACACCGCGCTCTGGCGATATCTGGTCACCATGGTTTTCTGGCTGACAGTGCTGGCGCTCACCGCCGCGGCAATCGTGATCGGCTTCCGGCCGATGCTGCGCGGCAGTGGATCGGCCGACCTCAATCGCGCCGAGGACCATGAGCACGACATTGCCGTCTACCGCCACCAACTCGAAGAACTGGCCGGCGAGGAAGCGCGCGGTTCGATCTCGCCGGTCGAGGCGGCGCAGGCGCGCAACGAGATATCGCGGCGCATCCTCGCCGTCGAGGACCGGATGTCACCGGTCGGAACGGCGGGCAAACCGGCGCGCGCGCCGCGCTCTGGCCTGGCGATGCTGGGTCTGTTCGCGCTGGTCTTTGTCCCCGGCCTGACGCTGATCATCTATACCGGCATCGGTTCGCCGGGATATGAGTCGCAACCCCTGGCGATGCGGCTCGAAGCGATGCGCGATGTTGCGGCCATGCGCAGCCAGACCCAAGACCAGTTGCGGGACCTTGTCGTGCGCGCCGAGGATCATCTGCGCGACAATCCCGATGACGGCCGCGGATGGGACGTGCTGGCGCCGGTCTATTTCCGCCTCGGCGAGGTGGGAAAATCCGAAACCGCCTATCGCAACGCGATCCGCCTTCTGGGTGAAACGCCACAGCGGCTTTCGGGCCTTGGAGAAACGATGGTCACTGCCGCTGGCGGCATCGTCACCGCCGACGCGTCGGCGCTTTTCGAGCGGGCACTGGACACCAATCCCGCTGACGCCCGCGCCCGATTCTTCGTCGGATTGGCCGACGTGCAGATCGGCCAATATGAGGACGCTCGCGCGGCATGGACGTCGCTGGCCGCCGATGAGGGCGCCGACATGGCCTGGCGAGCCGTCGCGCAACAGAGCCTTGGGCGGCTCGACGAGACGGCGCCTGTCGCGGAGACTTCAGGCCGTCCGCCGGTGCTCGACGAAGCGACGATCGAGCAGATGCAGAATATGAGCGCCGATGAGCGCGGCTCGGTGATCGAAGCCATGGTGGCCTCGCTCGACGAGCGGCTGCGTGCCCAGCCCGACGATCTGGAGGGTTGGAAGCGCCTCATTCGCGCCCGGATTGTCCTTGATCAAGACGATGGCCTGCGTGACGCGCTAGAACGTGCCCGCAGCGCTTATGATGGCCGGCCCGAGGAGCTCGAGAGCCTGCGCGCTTTCGCCCAGGGCCTTGGGGTGGACTTGGAGGAATACTGGCCGTGACCCGCAAGCAGAAGCGCTTTGCCGTCATCTTCTCCGCGCTCGCCGTTCTGGGCGGTGCGGTGGCCTTGGTCCTGACCGGGCTCAGCGAGCAGGTCACCTTTTTCCGCACGCCGACGGACATCGTCTCGACGGCGAGCGCATCCGAAAACGAGGGCCGGCTGCGGCTCGGCGGGCTCGTCGTGATGGGCTCGGTGGAGACGCTCGACGATGCCGCGGTTCGCTTCGCCATCGAAGACGCAAATCACGCGGTAACGGTGCGTTATGCCGGCATTCTGCCGGACCTGTTCCGGGAAGGACAGGGAATCGTCGCCGAAGGCACGCTTCAACCGGACGGCACGTTCCGGGCCGACACGGTGCTTGCCAAACATGACGAAACCTACATGCCGCGCGAAGTCGCCGACGCGCTCAAGGAACAGGGCGTCTGGAAGGGCGAAGCGTCCGGTGAAACCCCGGCAAGCAGCGATTATTAGGGAGTGACGGACATGATCGTCGAACTGGGCCATTACGCGCTCGTTCTGGGACTGGCGCTGTCGCTGGCTCAGATGATCGTGCCGATGATCGGCCTGCGCACCAACAATGCGCGCATGCTTGCCGTCGCGCCGTCGCTGACGGTGGCCACCTTCCTCGTCGTCGCGGTCTCGTTTGCAGCGCTGACCTGGGCCTATGTTACGTCCGACTTCTCGGTTCGCAACGTCTGGGCCAACTCGTTCTCCGACAAACCGTTGCTTTTCAAGATAACCGGCGTCTGGGGCAATCACGAAGGCTCGATGCTCCTGTGGATACTGACGCTGGCGCTGTTCGGCGCGCTGGTCGCCTTCTTCGGCGGCAATCTTCCCTCGCGCCTCAAGGCGGCGGTGCTCTCCGTGCAGGGCTCGGTGACGGTCGCTTTCGCGCTGTTCATCCTGTTGACGTCCAACCCGTTCGAGCGTCTGTCGCCGCCGCCGCTCGAAGGGCGCGATCTCAACCCGATCCTTCAGGACATTGGCCTGGCGATCCATCCGCCGCTCCTTTATCTCGGATATGTCGGCTTTTCCATCTGCTTCTCCTTTGCCGTTGCGGCGTTGATCGAAGGCCGCATCGACGCGGCCTGGGCGCGCTGGGTGCGGCCGTGGACGCTTGTGTCCTGGGTGTTCCTGACCGCAGGCATTTCGATGGGCTCCTACTGGGCCTATTACGAACTGGGCTGGGGCGGCTGGTGGTTCTGGGATCCGGTCGAAAACGCCTCCTTCATGCCGTGGCTGATCGGCACCGCGCTGCTCCATTCCGCGCTGGTGATGGAAAAGCGCGAGGCGATGAAGGTCTGGACCATCCTGCTCGCCATCCTCGCCTTTTCCTTCTCCCTTCTCGGCACGTTCCTCGTCCGCTCGGGCGTTCTGACCTCGGTGCATTCGTTCGCCACCGATCCTCAGCGCGGCCTGTTCATCCTGATGATTCTGGTCTTCTTCATCGGAGGATCGCTGATCCTGTTCGCGCTGCGCGCCGGAACCCTGCGCAATGGCGGCATGTTCCATCCCGTCAGCCGCGAAGGGGCGCTGGTTCTCAACAACCTCTTCCTGACGACGGCGACCGCGACCGTGCTTGTCGGCACGCTCTATCCGCTTCTGGTGGAAGCGGTCTCCGGCGAGAAGATCTCGGTCGGCGCGCCCTATTTCAACTACACCTTTATCCCCTTGATGATCCCGCTCCTGATGGCCGTGCCGTTCGGACCGCTTCTGGCATGGAAGCGCGGCAATCTGGCCGCCGCCGCCGAACGGCTCTGGCTGACCGCCGCCATATCCCTGGTGGCCGCGCTCGCCATCGCATGGCTGATCTATGACGCGCCGGTCCTGTCCGCCTTTGCCTACGCGCTCGCCTTCTGGCTGATTGTCGGCCCGTTCGCCGATGTCTGGCAGAAGGCCGGGTTCGTCAAGAATGGCTGGTCGACCGGCTGGGCACGCCTCAAGGGCCTGCCGCGCGCCAGTTGGGGAACCGCGCTCGCACATGCCGGGCTCGGTATCACGACGCTCGGCATTGTCGGCGTGACCACGCTCGAGGACGAGACCGTGCTGCGCATGACGCCGGGCGAGACGACGAGCTTTGCCGGGTATGATGTCGAGTTCAATTCGCTGACGCCGGGCAAGGGTCCCAATTTCACCTATGACAAGGGCATCTTCACGATCAGCCGCGACGGCCGCGTGATCGGAACGGTCGAGCCGGAAAAGCGTGTCTATGTCGCAAGCCGGATGCCGACGACCGAAGCGGGCATTCAGACTGTCGGCCTGTTCAGCCAGTATTATCTGGCGCTGGGCGATGCCGTCGAAGGGTCCGAGGACATCGTGGTGCGCATCTGGTGGAAACCGTGGGTGACGCTGATCTGGTACGGCACGGTCGTCATGGTCGCTGCGGGCCTTATCTCTCTTTCCGACCGGCGCCTTCGGATCGGTGCACCGGTTGCCGCGCGCCGCAGGCGTCAAGAGGCGTTGGCCGCCGCAAGGGCGGAGCCGGCCGAATGAGGCGTCTTGTTGCAACGCTCGCGCTGATCGCGGCCTTGGGCGCGGCGCCGGCCCATGCCGTCAATCCCGACGAGATCCTCGACGATCCGGCGCTTGAGGACCGCGCACGCGATATCTCGGCCGGCCTGCGCTGCATGGTCTGTCAGAACCAGTCGATCGATGATTCCGACGCCGAGTTGGCGCGCGATCTGCGGGTTCTGGTCCGCGACCGTCTCGTCGCCGGCGACACCAACGACGAGGTGGTCGCCTATGTGGTCGATCGCTATGGCGAGTTCGTTCTGCTCCGGCCGACCTTTTCGGCCCGCAACGCGCTCCTTTGGGGCACGCCGATCATCATGTTGCTGCTGGGCGGCACCGCCGCCTTCCTGTTCGGGCGCCGGCACAGCCGGTCACGCGCCGGTGAGGCGCTGACCGCCGAGGAACAAGCCCGTGTCGCAAAGATTTTAGATGAAGGTGAGCGCAACGACAGCTAGGTAGTCCCCAACCATGAGGGGAAGTCGCCATGCCTGTCGAAAAACGCACCTTTAGGTCCCGTGACGGGCACATGCTTGCCGCGCGGTTCGACAGACCCGAGGGGCCGGTGCGCGGCAACGCTCTGTTCGCCCACTGCTTCACCTGCACCAAGGACATCGTCGCCGCCCGCCGCATCGCGGCCAACCTGGCGCGGCTCGGGGTGGCGGTGTTGCGCTTCGACTTCACCGGCCTCGGCTCCTCCGAAGGCGAGTTCGCCAACACCTCCTTTGTTTCCAACGTGGACGACCTCATTGCCGCCGCCGATCATCTGCGCGAAAGCGGCGAAGCGCCCATGCTGTTGATCGGCCATTCGCTTGGCGGCGCGGCCGTTCTGGCCGCGGCGGGCGACATTCCCGAGGTCAAGGGCGTGGTGACCATCGGCGCCCCGGCCGACGCCGAACATGTCCTTCACAATTTCGAAGCCAGCATCGAGGAAATCGAGAGCGAAGGATCGGCGGAGGTCACGCTGGCCGGGCGCAAGTTCCGCATCGGCAAGGGGTTTGTCGATGCCGCGCGCGAAACCGCCCTGACCGACCGGATCGCCACGCTGCGCGCGTCGCTGCTTGTCATGCATTCGCCGATCGACGAGACGGTCGGCATCGACAATGCCACGCGCATCTTCACGGCGGCCAAACACCCAAAAAGTTTCGTGTCTCTGGACAAGGCCGACCATCTGCTGTCGGGCGCGGACGACGCGGAGTTCGCCGCCGAAGTCATTGCCGGTTGGGCGTCGCGCCTTCTTCCCAGGGACGAGCCTCAGGGCATCGAGGCGATCGAGCATGTCCGCGTCACCGAAACCCGCGCCAGCAAATTCCAGAACATTGTCCAGGCCGGCACGCACCGCTTCTTCGCCGACGAGCCGCCATCCGTGGGCGGTACCGACACCGGGCCAACCCCTTACGATTTCCTGTCGGCCGCACTCGGCGCCTGCACGTCGATGACGCTGCGCATGTATGCCAGCTTCAAGAAGCTCGATCTGGGCACCGTGACCGTCGATGTCAGCCACGCCAAGGTGCATGCCGACGATTGCGCCGATTGCACCGAGGAATCGCGCGCCAATGGCGGCAAGATCGACCGGTTCGAGCGGGTGATCACGGTCGATGGCAACGTCCCGGAAGAACTGGCCGGCAAGCTTGAGGAAATCGCCAACAAATGCCCGGTGCACAAGACGCTGGAAGGCAACGCGACGGTCGTGACCAGGGTGGAGGCGGGGCGGGGCTGACATCCCGTCCGCCGACACGGTGCTCACACGCCCGTGACCCAACCTTACCGATTTTTCATCTGACGGACATGTTTGCGCAATCTTCGGCTTCCTAGATTGGGTCCCAAGGCGCCGTCGCGCCATGCTGGAATTCAAGAGGATGGAAAACCGATGAAGAAGTCCCGATTTGCCACCGTCATCGTCGCTGCTGCCGTTGTTGGCGCCGGCTTTGCCGGATACGGCACCGCCCAGTTCGCAAACCCCGCTTATGCCGAGGCCGTTCGGCTGGAGGCACCCGTCGCCGCGCCCGGTTTTGCAGATGTGGTCGATGCCGTCTCGCCGGCCGTCGTCTCGGTGCGCGTGCGCAGCCGCATCGACAATGTGTCCGACCGTTCGCCGCGCGGTTTCGACTATCGCGGCAGCCCCTTCGAGGACCTGCCCGAAAGCCATCCCTTCCGCCGGTTCTTCGACCGCGAATTCGGTGGCCGCGAATTCGGTGGCCGCGATTTCGAGAACCGCCGGTTCGGCGAGCGCCAGCCCGAACGCCCGCGCCGCGCCCGTCCTGTCAGCCAGGGTTCGGGTTTCTTCATCTCCGGTGACGGTTTCATCGTCACCAACAATCACGTCATTGAAAACGGCGAAGAGTTCACCGTCATCATGAATGACGGCACCGAGCTGGACGCCGAACTGATCGGCGCCGATCCGCGCACGGATCTGGCCGTCCTGAAGGTCGATGACGACCGCGACTTCACCTATGTCACCTTTGGCGACGACAATGCGACGCGCGTTGGCGACTGGGTGGTCGCGGTCGGCAATCCGTTCGGCCTTGGCGGCACGGTCACCGCGGGAATTGTCTCCGCTCGCGGCCGCGACATCGGCGCCGGCCCCTATGACGACTTCCTGCAGATCGATGCGGCCGTCAACCGCGGCAATTCCGGCGGGCCGACCTTCAATCTTGCCGGCGAAGTGGTCGGCGTTAACACGGCGATCTTTTCGCCGTCGGGCGGCAATGTCGGCATAGCGTTTGCCGTGCCTGCCTCGGTCGCGAGCGACGTGGTTGCCGAACTGATGGAGGATGGCGATGTCGAGCGCGGCTGGCTCGGTGTGCGCATTCAGCCGGTGACCGACGAGATCGCCGAGTCGCTCGGTCTGGCCGACGCGTCGGGCGCCATCGTCGCCGACCCCGAAGAAGGCGCGCCGGCTGATCGCGCCGGTATCCGTGCCGGTGACGTGATCACCGCGGTCAATGGCGATGCCATCGACGGGCCGCGCGATCTGTCGCGCGCCATTGCCGGCTTCGATCCGGGCACCGAGGTGACGATCACCATCCAGCGCAACGGCGACAGCCGCGACCTGGCGGTCGAACTGGGCGAACTGCCCTCGCTCCAGTCATTCGCTGATGCCGGCCCCGGCACCACGCCTGACACGGTCGAGCCGTCCTCGATGGACGATCTCGGTCTGACGGTGGTGCCGGCCGATGACGGCGAAGGCGTGCTGATCACCTCCGTCGAGCCCGACAGCCCGGCCTTCCAGTCCGGCATCCGCCCCGGTGACATCATCCGTGAGGTCAACAACCAGCCAGTGGCATCGGCTGCCGACATCGAGCAGCGCGTCGCTGAAATCGCCGAACGCGGCCGCGCGGCCGCGCTTCTGCGCCTTGAAGGCGAAGACGCCAGCCGGTTCGTCGCCGTGCCGCTGCCCCGCGGCTGACCGGTCAACCAGTTCCTGTCCGGGCCCTCCATGTCATCCCCTCCGGACGGGTCAAACGGCGGCGGGCCTTCCCCCCTCGCGCCCGCCGCCGCCCTTTTAGGATTACGCCGTGCCTGCTAAGACCCAGCCCATGAAAGTGCTGATCATCGAGGACGACCGGCAGGCCGCGTCCTATCTGAAGAAAGCGCTGACCGAGGCCGGCCATACCGCCGATGTCGCCCATGACGGCGACGATGGATACGCCATGGCCAATGGCGGTGCCTATGATGCGCTGATCGTCGACCGGATGCTGCCGAAACGCGACGGCTTGTCGATCGTCTCGCAATTGCGCACCGAAGAAGACCGCACGCCCGCGCTGATCCTGTCCGCCTTGGGCGAGGTCGACGACCGGGTCACGGGTCTGCGCGCCGGCGGTGATGATTATCTGACCAAGCCCTACGCCTTTTCCGAGCTGCTGGCCCGTCTTGAAGTGTTGCAGAGACGCTCGCAGAATGGCGACGGCGACACCGGCTACAAGGTGGCCGATCTCGAACTCGACCGCTTGTCGCGCCGCGTGTCGCGTGCCGGTCAGGAAATCACCCTGCAACCGCGCGAATTCCGCCTGCTCGAATATCTCATGCGCAATGCCGGTCGCGTGGTAACCCGCACGATGCTGCTCGAACATGTCTGGGACTATCATTTCGACCCCCAGACCAATGTGATCGACGTGCACGTCTCGCGGCTGCGCAGCAAGATCGAGAAGGGTTTTGACAAGCCGCTGCTGCACACGGTGCGCGGTGCGGGCTACGTCATGCGCGACTGATGTCCCAGGTGCGCACCCGCCGGCGCTTTGGCGCCGTTTTCCAGACCACGGCGGTGCGCCTTTCGGCGCTCTATCTGCTGCTGTTCAGTGTCTGCGCGATTGTCCTGATCTTCTACATGACGTCGCTCGCCGCAGGCTTCTTCATGAGCGAGACGCGGCAGGCGATCGAGCAGGAGGTCCGCAGTCTCGACCGGGTCTACCAGCGCGGCGGCATGCGCGGGCTCGTCGTCGCGATCGACCGGCGCTCGCGCGCGCCGGGCGCCTTCGTCTATCTGGTGGCCGATCAGACCGGCCGTATCCTCGCCGGCAATGTCCGGTCGCTCGAGCCGGGCGTGCTCGACAAGCAGGGCTGGACGCCGCGGCCTTTTGCCTACGAAAAATTCCGCCCGCGCGCGGTCGGGGACCGCAGCCCGCACGCGATCGCCAACATCTTCCGCTTCGATAACGGGATGAGCGTGCTGGTCGGCCGCGATCTTGGCGAACCGGAGCGGTTTCGCGTCATCGTCCAGCGCTCCTTGATGTTTGCCCTGGGCCTGATGGCACTCGGCGGGTTTCTCATCTGGTTCTTCATCGGGCGCCGTGCGTTAAAGCGCATCGATGCCGTGTCGGCAGCCAGTGCCGGCATCGTGGCCGGCGATCTCAGCCGAAGGCTGCCGGTCTCGCGCGCAAATGACGAGTTCGACCGCCTCGCTGGCAGCCTCAACGCGATGCTGGGACGGATCGAGACGCTCAATGACGGACTGCGCGAGGTGTCCGATTCGATCGCCCATGATCTGAAGACGCCGCTCACCCGGCTGCGCAACCGTGCCGAGGACGCGCTGCGCAAGAAGCCGACCGAGACCGGCTATCGCGATGCGCTTGAGGACATGATCGGCGAGGCGGACCAGCTGATCCGTGTCTTCAATGCCATGCTGCAGATCTCGCGCGTCGAGGCCGGCTACACCAAATTCGCACCCGAACCGGTCGATCTCGCCGCTGTCGCCGACGAATTGGCCGAACTCTACGAGCCGCTGGTCGAGGATGCGGGCGGGCATCTCGAAAACACCGTCACCGGTCCGCTGGTCGCCGCGGGCAGCCGCGAACTGGTCGGCCAGGCGGTGACCAACCTTCTCGACAACGCGATCAAGTATGGGCTGACCGAAGCGGGCGGAACCGTCGTCCTGAAGGGGCGGGCGGACAAGGCCGCCGGCCGGGTCGAACTGCTGGTCTGTGACGGCGGGAAGGGAATTGCGCCGGACGACCGCGAACGCGCCGTGCGCCGTTTCGAGCGGCTCGACGAGAGCCGCACCGAACCCGGCTCGGGGCTCGGTCTGTCTCTGGTCGATGCAATCATGCGCCAGCATGGCGGCGCCTTGCGGCTCGAGGACAATGGGCCTGGCCTCTGTGCCGTCCTGTCCTTTCCCGCTTCGGGCTGACACACGCCATCTGACGACCGCTTTGCCTTGTCGGCCTTACGGGTTAGGTGTGTGCCGTCATCGAGGGGAGAAGCGCGTGTCCACGGCAAGGGAAGACCAGACCGGCAAACGCGATTGGCGCACCATTGCGGTCGTCGATGAGGGCGCGGCCGAGACCTGCCGCGCCACGCTGATCGAAGCCGCCGAACGCGCAGGCGCGGACCGCCTTCGCGAGGCGCTCGGATCCAGCGACCCGTGGGGCGGCTTTCTGGTTGCCACGGCCAGCCACGCGCCGTTTCTCGCCGCCGCCATGGCGCGGAACGCCGCGACGCTGGACGCGCTCGATCCGTACCGGCTCGACAAGGCGATCGGCGAAACGGTCGCCGCGCTCGATGAACTCGCCCGGTCGGCATCGCCGCCGGACCTGTCCGAACAGGAGCTCTCGCGCCGGTTGCGTGATCTGAAGAGCCGGGCACACCTTCTGATCGCGCTCGGCGACCTTTGCGGTGTGCATACGGTCGAGCAGACGACCGGCCATCTGTCCGCTCTGGCCGAGGCGGCGCTGAACGCGGCGCTCAATTGGCTGCTTCGCGATCTGGCCCGCCAGAACAAGCTGGAACTGGCCGACCCAGGCGATCCGGGCAGGGGCTCGGGCGTGATCGTGCTCGGCATGGGCAAGTTGGGCGCCGGCGAACTCAACTATTCCTCCGACATCGATCTGATCGTCTTCTTCGAGCATGAGCCCGAGGGTCTGACCTGGGTCGATCCCTATGAGGCCGGAGCCAATCTCTCCAAGATGCTGCGGCGGCTGATCCGCATCATGCAGGAACGCACCGGCGACGGCTACGTCTTCCGGACGGACTTGCGTCTGCGGCCCGATCCCGGCGCGATGCCGCTGGCCATCTCCGTCGATGCCGCGCTCACCTATTATGAGGGCAGGGGCCAGAACTGGGAGCGCGCGGCGCTGATCAAGGCGCGGCCCGTCGCCGGCGACAGGGCTGCGGGCGAGGCGTTCCTTGCCCAGCTCACTCCCTTCATCTGGCGCAAATATCTCGATTATGCGGCTATCGCCGATGTCCAGTCGATCAAGCGCCAGATCCATGCTCACAAGGGCCACGGCGCCATCGCCATCGAGGGCCATAACGTCAAGCTCGGACGCGGCGGCATCCGCGAGATCGAGTTCTTCGTCCAGACCCAGCAACTGATCGCCGGCGGCCGCGCGCCGCACCTGCGCGACCGGCGCACGCTCGAAATGCTGCGGCGCTTTGCCGATGATGGCTGGATCACCGCCGACGCGCGCGATGAGCTGACCGATGCCTATCGCTTCCTGCGCCGCGTCGAGCATGTCGTCCAGATGATCGGCGACGAGCAGACCCACACGCTGCCCGTCATCCATGAGGGCATGACCGCGGTCGCCGCCCTGATGGGCTTTGAGGAGACCGACGCATTCCGTCTTGCGCTGCGCGAGCGTCTGGTGACCGTCGAGCGCCATTTCGGCGATCTATTCCAGGAAGGCGAAACGCTGGCTGCGGCGGCGGGCAATCTTTCCTTCACCGGCGAAGACCCCGATCCGGACACGCTCACGACCCTGTCGCAGCTCGGCTTCACCCGCCCGGCGGACATGTGGTCGGTGATCAGAAGCTGGCATTTCGGCCGCTATGGCGCGGTCCAGTCGCAAAAGGCGCGCGAGCGGCTGACCGGGATCACGCCCGCCCTGCTGGAGGCCTTCGCCGCCACCGGCCAGCCGGATGACGCGCTGTTGCGTTTCGACGCGTTTCTCAAGGGGCTTCCCACGGGCATTCAACTCTTCTCGATGCTGCATTCCAACCGCCACCTTCTGTCGCTGCTGTTAACCATCCTGTCGGCGGCCCCGCGGCTGTCGGAAATCATCACCAAGCGCCCGCTGGTGTTCGACGGCATGCTGGACCCCGCCTTTTACGAGGGCTTGCCCGACCGCGAGGAGCTGGCTTCGAGCCTCGGCGACTTCCTCGGCGACGCCCGGCACTATGAGGACCGCCTCGACCGGCTGCGCATCTTCGCCGCCGAGCAACGCTTCCTTGTCGGCGTACGATTTTTGACCGGTGCGGCCAAAGCCGAGCAGATGGGCGAGGCGCTGACCAACATCGCCGATCTCGCCATCGCCGAAGCGTTGGATGCGGCACGCCGCGAAGTGGCGCGGCGGCACGGTCATGTACCGGGCGGCGAGTGCTGCGTTCTGGCGCTCGGCCGGCTGGGGTCCCACGAGATGACGGCCGGCAGCGATGTCGATCTCATCCTGCTCTACGACCATCCCGAAGGGATCGACGCCAGCGACGGCGACAAGGAACTCGCGCCGACGCAGTACTACGCCCGGCTCACCCAGCGCCTGATTGCGGCCCTTTCCGCCCCGACCAGCGAAGGCGTCCTCTATGAGGTCGACTTCCGGCTGCGGCCGTCGGGCAACAAGGGACCTCTGGCCACCTCGCTGCGTGCGTTCTCGCACTATCAGCGATCCGAGGCCTGGACGTGGGAGCATATGGCACTGACGCGCGCCCGCGTCGTGACGGGAGACGAGGGGTTGAGTGCGCGGGTCCAAGAGGAGTTGCACGCCATCCTGGCCCTTCCGAGCGATGCCGACGCGGTTCGCGCGGACGTTCTTGCCATGCGCGCAAGGCTTTTGCGGGACAAGCCGCCGCGCGGCGAATGGGACCTCAAACGCGTCTCCGGCGGCATCACCGACATCGATTTTCTCGCCCAGTACTGGCGGCTGACGGCCTTACCAAAGCTTAATTTGAACGGCGCCCGCGCGACCGCTATTTTCAGTG